GGAGAGACTGTTCTCAGATTGTCAGGAATCATTTTTACCAAGGTTTGCCTTTCTCTCCCTGCTTTATATCCTTTCCAGATTAAGTCCAAGGTTTTGCATTTTCCTTTTCAGTAGTAGCCTTACAAATTGCAAAATATGTTCTTGCTATGTTACAATTTTTCCTTACCCTGCCTCTAATAATTGAGGAAACCTGGTATATTTTATATCCATTTATCACCTAACATTTCCTTTGTGCTGTATTTGTCATACATTTAACTTTTCTGATGTATTTACCTCAACAGATGATTATTGCTACTATTATAAATAGCACATCTATTTTGGGTTTTGAGGAAGAATCCACTTTTTTACTTTTTACACTGAAAATCATTGAAGAGAAAAGAATTGCAGACTTGTTTAAAATACCATTTACGAAAAGCGATTAGTAGAGACCTTTAAGAAAACATTCACAAAATTCAAAAAATTGTAAAGAATTATTTTTGAAAAGTGAATCAGTCGTTCTTTTCATATTTTATGTAAATTTAGAGTTATCAAGGTGTTTTGGGGAGGTTTACTTTGTTCCAGCATCAACTAGTCTTTGCTTACAAGAAACACAGGGAAGTGCCCAGCAGAAGACACAACCCCCAGTCTCCCTGCACCACACCTGGAGGCCCAGAAAGAACAAAAGGCCAAGAAGAATCAAACAGAAGCTTAGCCTGTTACAAAACATCTTTTATTTTCATATCAACTGTAAAAACATAACAGTCAATGTAACTTCTCTCTGCAAGGCAGAGAGACATTCCCTAAGGAGTGTTGAACAAGGCAGTGTGCCCTACCAGAAAGACATAACATGTCCAAGGGAAGCTTCAACATAAAAATGCTGACCACGTAACATGAGGTGATTTCAATAAATAACAACTGACATTCTTAGAAAAGTATAAAATAGCCACATTCCTTACCCTGAGGGTGACCTCACAAGTTGCTGGGACCCCACTCCCCACCACATGCAGCACCGTGGCTGACCCTGGAGGCCCCCCACTAACTGAGTTTAGTGAGACTTTGCACCGCTATCCTCTTCACATTAAATCACAATCAGGACTGAGCCGTGTTTGATGAAACACAGTCACAGTTTTAAATAATAACATGTAAATATTAAAATACAAGCTCTGAATAAATAAATACATACATAAATAGAACTCTCATCAGAAATCATCAAATACATTAAGCCCTTGCCAGGTGTCCGCGGAAACCAGGCGCTGTCACTTCATTTCGTGCTCTCCTCTCCTGAGGGCAGGGATGGCCCTGCAGGACTTGGCCCCCAGAGAGCTGCCCGCTGCCTTCCTTCCCTGCAGGTCAGCGGCTGCTGCGCCTAGGGAGAGAAAAGGCTCCAGTTGCAGGTCCAGGAAGGCCGCTCTTCTCCGCACTGGCCCCTGAGGCTCTGAGGGGGCTGCGCACACTCCTGCCCGCCCTCCACTCAGGGCACCCCTGGCTGTACCCACTCGCCTCCCGGTGTAGTCAGAAGCATTTAGTAGGGGCCCCATATTAAAGTATTCCTGGGCTGCGGGATGCTTTGCATTGAGGGAAAGGGGCCTGTGGCTGCACCTAGACTCTGGGCTTGAAGGAGCTAAAGCATTTTGCTCCGTGATTGTGGGTTCCAGGTTGGAATTTACCCGCTGACCTCACTGAAGCCCTCCAGCACCCAGTGCAACAGCTGCCCTTCCCTCCTCTATCCTGCTGAGGTTCAAAGACACAAATACTGTCAGGGTCCTCGCCTAGAGCTGCGGGGGTCTCATCCCAATATCTTGCTCTTCACCAAGAAGACCTGGAGGCCCAGTTTGCCCCAAACCAGAGCTTCCAGTTCTCAGGTCTGAAGCCCAGGAGGGCGTGAGCCCCCAACAGCCAGCTCCCGTTCCTTCATCTTCCCGGACACACGTTCGCCCTGGCTCATAGGAACAGGGGGTGGGGGGGTGAGGACGCTGGAAGGCGCTCTGGCACCAGCGGGTCCACGACTTAATGGCAAATTTCACCCGAAGTAACTAAGGCCTGTCGGTCCTTCAGCTCACCCCGGGGTTTCCCTAAAACACACACTGACAGGCCCGGGGCAGAGGCCAGTACTGTGACAGGGCCGTCCTCGTGCAGACCAAACCCGCACTCACCTGTCCAGCATCTTCTCAATGATCTTCTTGACCATGGGGGCCGCGGGGTTGAGACAAGCCTCCTGCCCGTTCTTGAGCTGGGCTCTGCGGAGAGAAGGGAGGGTCCGGTGAGCCAGGAGGTCGGGGGGTGGGGAGGGGTGGAGGGGGTGGTCAGGAGTGCAGGGGAGGATGGTGACACTCACACGACTTCGGTCTGGGCGCAGTGGGGGCCCGGGGGCGTCACCTTCACACTCTGGATGTTCCTGAGGTGAATGCCCTGCACGGTCTGCAGGCACTGGCAGCGCAGCTCGGCGACCACGGGCGCTCCTAAGGGAGAAGGGACCGGTCAGCCGCGCTGTCCCTGCGGGCGCCCTGGAGCCCGCCCACCCGGTCCCAGGACGCAGGTCCCACCTGCTGCGCGGCGGCCGGCGGCGACCAGGAGCAGGAGCAGCAGCGCGGCCCGCAGGAGCCGGGGTGTGCGGGGGACAGCGCGGGCCATGGGCGCAGAGAAGAAGGCGGTGAGGACGGCGGAGAAGGAGGAGAAGGTGGCGAGGACTGCGGCGAGGATCGCGGAGAGAGCAGCGAGGACGGCCGGGACGGCTGTGGGGACTGCTGTCCGGTTGCGACGCTGAGGTCCGGGCTCTGCAGCTCCCAGGCCAGGGTCCCCTTTTATGCGCTGCTGGGTCTGGAAAGCCCGGAGCCCCTGGCCGGGGAATTCCCCGGGTTGCGTGTGGTGCTTATGCTGGAGGAGGCGCCGCCCCAGGGTCAGTGGCGCGGCTGGAACTCGGGGTCTCCCCTGCTTCCTCTCCCACAAGGGGCTGGGGACTCTGCAATGTTCGCTTTCGGCCCCAAATCCATAGAGAGGCAGTGAGTTGCCTTCACCATTGTCCTTGCCACCTTTGAGGGCACCGCGGGCGCCCAGCGACTCAGCGGGCGGGGCAGGGAGAAAGGAAAGAGCTGGGAGAACCAGGACCCCGGGGACAGGGGGACGGACCTCTTAGAGGACGCGGTGTGTCTCCTTAGTTGTCACCGCCGAGGGGCAGCAGCACAGGCTAATTATCATCGGGAATTCGTGTCATCTGTGTGTCCCGCTCCTCCTTCTCTAACGACTTTCATAATTGATACGCTTCTGAAATCAATGATCTCCATCAGAAGCGCGGCTCATCTCCAACTCCAGAGAGGAACGTTCAGCTCGTGTCTCGTCCTGTGTTTCTCTAATCACACTCAGACGACCTGTTCACACTTCCATGTGGTGGGACAGGAACCAGTGTCAAGAGCGGGCTGCACCGGGCTGCACCGTGAACCTCTTTCCTACCCCATTCCTTCCTCCCTCCCTCTGAAATGCTGGAACTTCCGAAATTCCCTGCAGAGCTCCTTTTCCGGGGGTGGGGGTGGGTCCAGATTTGACCTGTGGAATAAGGGGCTGCAGTCACTCTGAGGCTGCGGAGGGGCCAGGTCCAGCGGCCTGCCGGCTTCACCTTCCTCTGCGCCCTTGGACCGCAGGGCACGTGGCACTGGGCAGTGGGCGCCGGGGTGCGAGCGGCCTCACCCTGAAGCAGCGAACAGACGCTGAGGATGAGACAGGAAACTCCAGGTCACAGTAAATCACATCCCTTCACGGCAGAACTTCCTCGTGTTCCCTGCTGGTCCTCCTTTCTCTCTTAGAAACATCAACATGTTTCTGTTTTCTGATCAGGAACCCCAAAGTCTGTTAACCTGGAGTCTTTATTGCTTTCTCTCTAGAAGCCTTAGAGAGTTTATTCTGATCCAACATTAGTTTTGAGAGAGTTTAAGTGTGATTCTCCAAGTTGGCTTCAGGCCTCCCTGATGGTTGGAATCTGATGGGAGGGAGGAGGGGAGGAACGAAAGACTCTGTCCGGGATAATTGTCTCCAGCACAGAACCCTGGCCGAGCAGGAGTAAGAGCCTGCACCTCTGCTCCTCCTTTCGTGCAGGGTATCAGCTGCCTGATGTTAACCCCAAGGTGCTGGACAGATGAGGTAACATTGTCCTCATATACACCCTCAGAGGTGGTGGGTTCAAACCCAGCCCCAGCCAAAAACTGCACAAAAAAGCAAAAACTTCATATGATGCATACTGTCCATATATTTTTCTATGTTTGTTATCTCTCCATTTTTATGATCAGAAATATTTTTGTTTTTATTTTTTCCCTCTTGGCTCCATCTATATAGTCACATAGTATTTGAAGCAATGGATTCTGAACTATACCGATTCCATGAGGGTGGCTCTGCGGTGTGTGACATCTCTGAAGACATTAAGAACACTAGAAAAATATGGAATCTAATAAGATGTGGTGGAAATTGAGGTGGAAGCAGAGAAAGAAACAGGGGCTCAGCAGTGTGCCCTTTACATATGTGCATGTGACATATGTCCATGGTCACACGGTGAGTGTGGTTCTCTACAAATGACGCTCAGTGAGCACATGTTACAGCATTTGTGTGTGACTGGAGGGCGCAGATCAGCAGACGAGGGAGAGAGTCACCAGATTTCCAAACACACTAGTCACAGACATGGTTCTAAAATGGCTTTAGTGTGTTGTAATGTCCATGGATAACAGATGAGGTCTCTGAACCTGACCTGGGCAGGAGATGGGGAGATGGTGCCTCCATATTCAACCAATTTCTGGCAGCTAAATGCCCAATCTTAGGTCCCCAGTCATATCATTATATCACAGCACGATTAATATTTTTTCTATGTAGTTAATATTTGACCAAAAAAAAACATTTAGCGCCTACTCTTAGAGGCATTTTTCTGAAACTTAGAATGAAGAGATGGACGGTCTTGGCCCTGACTCACTGACTGGCAGTGGGAAATACACAGCTACACGAGTAATCACAGTGGAGTCTGACAGCCATTCCAACCGGGGTGAAGGAGGTGACGGCGGTGTGTACAAAGGGCTTTATTCCTTATTTTCAGACGGTCCCTATGTGGTCCCTGGAATTACAGAGAAATGAAGACATTCAGCATTAGTAAGTCAGACTGGAAGTCATTTTCTTTGGAACAGAATGTCCCACAGGAAACAGTTCTTACTTTTTCCCCCTAACTAAAGTTTGGTACCAGACAGACAAATGCTATGACCAGAGATTATGTCACAGAAAAGAGAAATCATTTTGTACGTAATGGAAAAAAGATTTTGCCATAAATTATTGCCACTCTTCCCAATTAGCTGTGCTATCTCTTTTTCACACCTTCGATTCTGTGAGAGGAGATGGTGGCACTGGATCTGAGGCTCATGGTGGAGACTGAACTAGCGGTGCTTCCAAAGCCAGGAGCCCTCAGTGTGGAGGTGAGTAGCTGCCTAGAGGTCTGCAGCAAGGTGGCTTTCCGTGCCCTCCAGATGTCTTTATATACAGTTCCCCAGGGCACTGGGGGAAGTGGTCAGGTGGAGCAGTGAGGGCATTCGTGTCACACACATACCACGCAGGTATGAGCTTACAGGCTGTGCCCAACCCAGATAAAGACAACGGACCTCCATTTATCACGTACATCACAGCGAGCAGGTCCGCCTTCCTGCTCACTTGCATTTTATGCCTCATGTCACATTCTTAACCCCCTCTCTCCACCTGTCTCCCCTGCACGTGTCTGAGCACTCTGCTTAGGAGGTGACAACTCGACTGAAACCCTACATGTGACTGTGGCAGTGTGCCCAGCCTTATCTGTAACACAGTTTGTGAGCACAATAGACACTCTGCAAACATGTGGGCACTAAATGAGTGGGGTTCCCTTGTCAGTTGTCAGTGAAAGCAGATGTTTCTGTCTTGTTTGTTCTTCAGCGTCCAGACTGGTTTGGAGTTTGTGGGTAAAGTGTCATCCAGCTGCCAACTTAGCTCATTTCATATCTGAGCTTGTTGTCTTCAGTCTGTCTTCCAAATAATTACCTTTTTAAAAAAATTTTTACTGTGTGATTCTATTTTTTTAAATTAAATCATAGCTGTGTACATTAATGCAGTCATGAGGTACAATGTGCTGGTTTTATATACAATTTGAAATATTTTCACCAAACTGGTTAACAGGCTTCATGGCATTTTCTTAATTATTGTATTAAGACATTTATATTCTGCATTTAGAAAGATTCACATGTACCCTTGTAAGATGGACCATAGGTGTGGTCCCAGCAATCACCTTCCATCCACCCATCCTCCCCCCTCTCCTGCCCTCCCTCTCCCCCTTCCCCATATTCTTGGGCTATAATTGGGCTATAAATTTCTTTTTTTTTTTTAACATTGGGACAAATATATCAATTTTATGAAGAAAAAAAAGCATCATCTACAAATCAATTATGAGATAAGTGTACTCATTACCACCACTCCTAGTAAAGTTGAAGATCCTAGCTAGTACAATTATGAAAACTTAAAAATCCCAATACTTTGTAAAAAAATACAAATTTCATTACTTCTGAGTTACCAAGTTACTTGCAAGTTACCAAAAACAATAGAAAAATTCAGCAATATAGCTAACTTCAAAATACCTATACAAAATCAATTATATTCCTATATAAAAAAGAATTACAAAATAACATTAGAAAAAGAAAGATAGCATTATATCAGCAACCAAAATAGAAAGTACCTATCAATATAGCTTTAACAAGAGCTGTGCAATTTTTTTTGAATACATAATCATTTACTACTTGTTTGTTACAGAATACACAAGACAAAATACAAATAGCAAACAAATTTTTTTCCTTATGTTTTTACCAAAGTCTAAAAAAAAAGACAACTAATATATATAAATAAAAGGGCCACAACTTTCATATGAAAGCTATAAATTAGTTTCATAGTAGAGCTGAGTACATTGGATACTTTTTCTTCCATTCTTGAAATACTTTGCTAAGAAGAATATGTTCCAGATCCATCCAAACAAACATGAAGGAGGTAAAGTCTCCATCTTTCTTTAAGGCTGCATAATATTTCATGGTGTACATATACCATAATTTATTGATCCATTTGTAGATTGATGGGCACTTGGGCTTCTTAATTAACTTAGCAATTATGAATTGGGCTTCAATAAACATGCTGGTACAAATATCTTTGTTATAGTGTGATTTTGGTCTTCTGGATATATACCTAGTAGAGGAATTGTAGGATCAAATGGCAGGTCTATTTTTAGTTCTCTAAGTGTTCTCCAAACATCTTTCCAAAAGGGACATATTAGTTGCCATTCCCACCAGCAGTGTAGAAGTGTTCCCTTTTCTCCACATCCACACCAACATCTCTGGTTTTGGGATTTTGTGATGTGGGCTAATCTTACTGGAGTTAGATGATATCTCAAAGTAGTTTTGATTTGCATTTCCTTGATGGTTAATGGTGATGAGCATTTTTTCATATGTCTGTAGGCTGTGTGCCTATCTACTTCAGAGAAATTTCTCTTCAAGTCCCTTGCCTACCCCAAGATGGGATCACTTATTCTTTTCTTGCTAATCTGCTTGATCTCTGTGTATTCTGGTTAGTAAACCTTTGTCAGAAACATAACCTGCAAATATCTTCTCCCATTCTGAGGGCTGTCTACTTGCTTTAC